GACTTCGCCACCGCTCTTGTGGCTGCTCCTCCTTCCAGTCCTCTGGCCGTCGGGGGTGTGTCTGCCCTTGGCAGTGACGCCCTAGAGGACAGGCAGTTTGAGCTAGAGTTCCTGGCGGCCGCTTCCCCTCATCTCTGTGCCATGCTCCTCGCCCCTGAGGGTGACCCCGACGCCCTTGACATTCCGACTCCTCGCACTTACGCTGAGGCAGTGTCAGGGCCTTGGGCCTCTCAGTGGAGAGCTGCCATGGACGCAGAGATGGCCTCCTACAGATCCACAGGCACCTACGTCGATGAGGTTCCCCCTCCGGGGGCGAACGTAGTCGACGGCATGTGGATCTACAGGGTGAAGCGGCCACCGGGATCTCCTCCGGTCTTCAAGGCGCGCTACGTGGCTAGAGGTTTCAGTCAGCGCGAGGGAGTTGACTTCTTTCAGACCTTCGCGCCCACCCCGAAGATGACCACTCTTCGGGTGTTACTACACGTAGCAGCACAGAGAGACTACGAGTTACACTCTCTCGACTTCTCTACTGCTTTCCTTCAGGGCAGTCTTCACGAGGAGGTCTGGTTGCGTCGTCCCTCTGCCTTCACTGGCTCTTTCCCTCCTGGGACCCAGTGGAGGCTGAGGCGACCGGTTTACGGTCTTCGTCAGGCTCCTCGTGAGTGGCACGACACCCTGCGTTCTACCCTGTCTGACCTTGGGTTCCAGCCGTCTTCTGCTGACCCGTCGCTGTTCGTTCGTCGTGGCACCACACCTTTCTTTGTTCTGGTCTACGTTGACGACCTTGTTTTCGCCACCCCTGACAGGGTTGCTTTGGCACACGTGAAGTCCGAACTGCAGAAGAGACACACCTGCACTGATCTTGGTGAGCTGCGCCACTACCTTGGCCTGCAGATCACCAGGGACAGAGCTGCTCGCACCATTACACTTTCACAGTCGCACATGGTGCAGCAGGTCCTTCAGCGGTTCGGGCTTCAGCACTCCACAGTACAGCGCACACCTCTTGCTGTTGACCACAGACTCACTGGACCCTTTCCTGACGAGCCGTTCGAGCCTAGTGGTCCCTACGCAGAGCTTGTGGGTTGCCTCATGTACCTGATGACTTGTACTCGCCCGGACCTCGCCTTCCCTCTCAGCGTTCTTGCGCGCTTTGTTGCGCCAAGGAGACACCGTCCTGTTCACTGGACAGCAGCTGTGAGGGTGGCGAAGTACCTAGCGACGACGTCAGGCGTGGGGCTAGTTCTTGGAGGGCAGCAGTCTGTCGTACTTACTGGTCACTGTGACTCCTCTTACGCTGACGACGCTGAGACTCACAGGTCTACTCAGGGGTACTGTTTCAGCCTGGGTTCTGGAGCTGTTTCCTGGCGGTCCACGCGCTCCTCTTCGGTCTCGACCTCTACAGCTGAGGCTGAGATCTACGCTGGTGCCATGGCGGCACAGGAGCTGCGTTGGTTGACCTTCTTGCTCACCGACCTTGGTGAGCGGCCGAGCTCTGCACCGACCTTGTTCACTGACAACAAGGCGTCTATTCTCCTTTGTCGAGAGCCACGACTGGAGAGCAGAGTGAAGCACATTCACGTCAGGTACTTTCTTCTGCGAGAGTTGCAGAGGCGTGGACAGGCTCGCTTTGAGTTTGTGGAGTCCGAGGCCAACACTGCAGACATCTTCACCAAGGCGCTTCCGCCTTGTGACCACCAGAGGTGCTGTGTGCAGTTAGGCCTTGTTGACACTGGTTCTCGTGTTGCTTAGACTTGAGTGTACTGTTTACTTTGCTTTCTATATATCTCTGTTACTTCTTGGACTGGCCTTGTGGCCACTGTTGTTTGTGCTCAGACTGTGTGGTGACGTTGTGATCCACCCTGAGCTTTGTTTCTTGGACTGGTCTTGTGACCGTACTCGTTTGGTTCTGCTAGACACCCCTCACTTAGGCTATGGGGGTGTGTCAAATGTTGTAGCCTATAGTGAGGTTTGTCTTAGGGGGTACAAAACTTAGGGTTAGCTATATGTACCCCAACCAACATCAATGCACCATCCATTCTTCATTCTGACAGATTCAGGGATCCGAATTTCACATAATGACCACACACCAATTGAAGCAGCACAGAAGAGGGTTGGGAAAACAGCCCAATTCTCACACAATGACCACATTCCAAATGAAGCAAAACAGATTTGGTTTGGGAAAACTATGGGAGAAACCGGTAGGGCATGGGGCATAAAGAATGGAGCAGTCAGCTGGTAGTGCATGTGAGTATTCTTCATTGTGAATCAGCACAGGTCTATGAGTTTGTTCATCACTCTGCTCAGACAATTGACGCCAAGTCAAACTCGTTGAGATGGCTTCAAACATTTGCCTCAGGCGAAAGATGGTGATTGGTTTCAAAATCAAAGACAAGCTCATGATTGGACAATTCTGCATCATTGGCAATGGCTGGATATATCCATCAAGAGTAGCCTGGTTAGGCTCAAAAACAGACGTGAAAGACAAGAGAGGACGGAAATGACAGTCAGGCCAAAAAGCTGGAACACCAAGTAGCAACTTGCCTCAGTCGAAAGATGGTGATAATGTTTGGTAAATCAGAGACAGGCTCATGAATTGGAACACGTTTTACATCACCAGCAAGTGGCTCTGCAGGGCTGAAAGCTCCAGCCTAAATATCAAAGGTTAAACAAGAAAAGCAAGCGAAATGTGGGAGCAACCACATTTTGTAGCACAGAAAAGGGCAAGGCTTGGTGAGAAGAGCAGTCCGATGGTAGTGCATGCGAGTATTCCTCATTGTGTATCAGCACAGGTCTATGAGTTTGATCATCATGCTGCTCTGACACATAGAGAGATTTATGATGCTCAGTAAAATTAGGAAAAGTATAGGCTTGGAAAAAGCCAAGAATCCATTGCCTCAAGTCAAAGTTGAAGTTCGGTGATTGTGTGCAATCATGGGCGTGCTCAGGAGTTTACGGAAATAAGAGCATCACGGACAATATGGTTGGACCGAGCTGTGGGGAAAACTAACGAGTTCAAAGGTGGTGTTTTGAGACGCCTCAAATCACCCGAACGAGGTGCATAAACTTGATGTGCTACCCTTACAGTGAATTCAGCAGTCAAACAGCAACAGACACGGAAGGAAACGAATGAACGGACTGTAAGCAAAGGGTCAGACAAAAGATACGAAGGCCCATCGGCTAACAAAATTGGTGACCAGAGCAGTCAGCTGGTAGTGCATGTGAGTACTCATCATTGTGAATCAGCACAGGTCTATGAGTTTGATCATCATGCTGCTCTGACTCAATGAGAGATAACTGCTGCTCAATAAAGTGAGGAAAAGTGTAGGCTTAAAAAAATCGAAGAATCCATTGAAGTCAAAGTTGTGAATCATTGTGAATTAGCACAGGTCTATGAGGTTGATCATCATGCTGCTCCTATCGACCACACTGGATTCTGACTCACCTATCAGCAGGCACGGGGAGCACGACGTACCTGAACTCAAACTCACACGCTGCTGATTCAAGCGGCAACGGAGAGTGACGTCATGCATATTTGGCCTCGTAAAAAGAAAGAGGCGAAGTGGAGAGGGCTCGAGAAGGAAGGAATCATTTGCCTCAGACGATTTGAAGTTCGGTGATGTGTCCAATCATAGGCACACTCAGGAGTTTACGGAATAGAGCATCACAGGCAAATGATCCAACCGAAGAATTTTCCTACACCTTTCATATCCGCCTTACTTGAATGATCAAGTCCTTGTCCTCTTCTTTCGCGAACTCCCTGGTCTCAGCGCCAAACCCTGTCCCCCTCGACCCCAATAGTGGTGCATGCGCAGCTGGCTTGCAGCGCGCGCTGTTGCTTCTGGTCGCGCCCTGTGCTTGCAGCGCGCGCTACTGCTCCTGGTCGCGCCCTGGCTTGCAACGCGCGCTACTGCTCCTGGTCGCGCCCTGGCTTGCAACGCGCGCTACTGCTCCTGGTCGCGCCCTGGCTTGCAACGCGCGCTACTGCTCCTGGTCGCGCCCTGGCTTGCAGCGCGCGCTACTGCTCCTGGTCGCGCCCTGGCTTGCAGCGCGCGCTACTGCTCCTGGTCGCGTGCAGCGCGCGCTGCTGCTTTTCGTGCTGCTAACGCGCTGGTCCGGGGCGGGCAGCGAAGCCTAAGGATGCGAGGGTACGACAGGGCCTGCGAGGGGGCGCGACGTAAGGGGACGTTCGGGGCCTGCGAGGGGGCGCGACGAGCGGAAGCTGCACGACGGGCTGCCTGGCGAGCCATGCCATAACGAAGGCTAACGGTGGGCGCTGTTAAGACGGTCCTAAGGCCGGGACCAGCTCTGATATCATGACGAAGTAAGGAGTAACTTAGATTTGGGATGCCTGGCTTAGGAGCCTAAGGAAGGAAGGTACAATTGATGCCCAACCAGTGCACGCGAATTTGCCTTGCGCTGGATGGAAACGCTGCACACGAGGTTGTTTCCCCAGCCTGTTGCTCCCACGTTACAAGCGCGTCGCGTGGTTATCAACCAATAGTAACGAACAGACCGAAGAGACTGATGTCAAGTTGTCATTGATAAGTTTACAAATCTTTGATACACCTAATGCTCGTTAGAGCCCCTCCCGGTTGCCTTGTGAAGGGGGACTGTAAGCTAAAACGTCATATCATCGGTTCGTCGAGCGTTTCGTCAGGCTTTGCGCGTGCATTTAACGCGCACATGGTTACCAGGCACTTTGTCCGATATGTAACAGTGTCGGGTGGCACCTATTGTCACATGTGCGCGTTACCGAAAACCTTACGAAAGCAAAACAAACCCAGAATGCAACATCAACACTTGTTCAACTTAGATTGAAACAGCTGACACACAAAGCCGGGCCAATCACATTCTACCACATGGCCATTCACCCCCGAGCTCAACAACATCCCCTCTAATGCAAATGTGTCTGTTATGTGCACAATCCCAACACTTCACAAATCTTCAAAAACTCCACCATCCCAACCTTCGACTCCTGCTCACGAGTCCACAAACCCAACTCACATCTGCATCCACTCAGCCGCATCCACGTACCCGCCCATCGCGGCGCCAACCCCGCCGTCCAGAAGCTGCTGACGGCGGGACGGCTGGGTCATCCAGCCAGGCAGCACTCGGCCCCGCGGACGCGGGGTGCCTGGCGTCGGAGTTACGGCCGGCGAAAGCATGGGCGGCGGGGCCATGTTGAGATTGAGCGCGGGGCTTGCCCGCTCCATGCGCTCGATGATGATGGGGTTACGAATGTCGAAGAGGTGGCAAAGGTCGCGCGGGGTCACGCTCACGGCGCGAGCATAGCCGATGAGCATATCGCAGGCCGCCCGTGCTGTGCGCCGCGCTTCACGGCCCACGGGGTCCGAGTCGTCATAGACCGCCTGCATCGTGGTCGGCGCCCTCCATAGCTCCGCAATCAGGCCCACGTCCGCATCATCAGGAGTCGGGTCCGCCCCCGGCTCCGCGCATGTCGGCTCGCCCTCGTCGATGGCGACGTACTCGGCGGCGGTCATTGCGCCGGTGCCGAGGCCGAGCCCGCTTATGAGCTCGCCGACGTCGTCGATGTCGTCGTCGAGCTCAATGTCGGGGTAAGCATGGGGGGTCGGCTCATCATCATGCACATGCGTGAGCTCCATGGACCACGACAGAGGCAGGCAGCCCGTGCGCCACCAGCACCTCTGGATGGTGCGCGCGCCGACACTCATCTAGGCGTCGGAGAGCCACCCCAGCACGTCGCGCAGATTGGGGCGCCAGCGCGCGACGGCGCTTGTGGCGCCGTCGTCGTTCCACAGTGCCGTGAAGGCCCGCAGCCAGTGCTGGCGGTAGCGGGCCTTCGCGGTCGCGATTATGCCCTGGTCGAGGGGCTGCGTGAAGGCGGCTGTGTTCGGCGGCAGGAAGATGAGGCGCACGTTGCTGAGGCAGGTGGTCCTCATGCCGCAGACGATTTCGCTCCACGCGCACTCGTCCCGCAGCATATGGGAGCTTGCATTGTCGAGCAGCACCGCGATGTGCCGCCCTTCGGCATACATCGCGGCATTGAGCTGCGATATGAAATGCGTGAACAACTGTTGGAGGGGATTGGGAGGGAGGGTGGGAGAGGGGGGTGGGAAAAAACAATGTTATAACAAGGTTATAACAACACTTAGATAACAATGTTAACACAACGTCATAAGAACACAAACACGAGCAAAAGCACACGGTCGGCAAACACTTACCGGGCTGGTCATCCAGCCCTTTGCGTTGTGCCGCCAGTAGCAAACGGATTCGGGGTCGTAGTCCAGCCGGAAGTCATGCGGACGGCGCGCCTTGCTGATGTCTAACGGCCGGAAAACATGGCTCCCGTCGGCGTTAACGAGAAACGCCACGGTAAGCCGGTCCTTTGAGACCTTGCGTCCGGGAAGCCGCGCGTTGCTGTATGTTTTCCGAGGCAGCACAGAGAGCCACAGCGCGGTCTCGTCAAGATTGAAGGTGTCGCGCGGCTTGTAGCCGAGGTGAGTAAGAAGTTGCGGCACCTTCTCACGCGCTTCACGCACAGCAGCCATGTCGGCGCTCGCCGCCTCGCCGGTGGCGGCACGGCATCGCACTCCCTGGCGCCGCAACGCACGGCGAACCCAGCCAATGGAGCAACGGAACACGGGCGGAATGCCCATGTTGCGCGCCATGGTCGCCACGTGGTCGCGGATCGTCTGCAGAGTGAGTGGTACGCCCGCGGGGCCAGCGTTAGCGATCCAGCGCGCCATGGCCTGCTCAAGCTCAGGCCATGCGCCACCTCGACAGCGCACTTGATTGGCGGCAGTGGGTTCGACCAGAGCCCAACTCTCGGCATTCTTCAGGATGCGGCCGACCGTGGAGCGGTCAGGTCGCAGGCCATACTGGGCGTAAACCCAGCGGGCGAGATCTACGTGACGCAGGAGGGGGTGCTCGACGTGATGCGCGCATAATGCGCGCTTGATGTGCAGCGGGAGCTGCTCACGGCGATTAAACCGCGGCATGGTGGGAGGCTGTGGCGGGAGAGAACGATGCTTGAGTGAATTTGCGCATCGGTTTTTAACTTTTGTTTGAGGACGAGGTTGAGCAGCGCTGGGGCCCGTTCAGTGTGGCTGGGTTTGATTCGTGTGGTGGTTGTTCGTTGCATGCACCCTGCTTACAATTTCGAATATGTGGTCTGAGTTACCACCAGAGTTATGATCTGACGTGGGGTAGGCGAACAACGCCTGGTTGTTAATGGGCTTGTACCCCACAGATGAGGAATACACGTGGCAGCGTGCACCAGCCCAGATGTCTGTTACACGCACCTTGATCCTCGCCTAGGTGGCGGGGCAGGTGGGCGAATGCATTTACGAAACCACTTTCATTTCGTCCAGTCGTTTCGTCCGATTGACTCCTGGCCTAGAAACAAGGAAAACATGGGTCGGCACTGCTTGTTGTGGTCTGCACGTGGGGGGGAGGCCGGGCCGCGTGCACTGTAGTTAGCCATCCATGTGCCTGTACATGGGGTGCAGCAAGCAGGGGTTTCGACCTCGGGGGCAGCGTGTCCATCCGGTGCATGGCAAATTCGCGTGCACTGGTCGGGCATCATGTGTATAAGCACATGCGAATCCTTTTTAGCTAGCTGCGAATTGACGAAACTTATGCGAAATGCTCGTGACAGCTTATACGCCCCCTTCACAAGGCAACCGGGAGGGGCTCAAACAGGCATCAATTGTATCGAGATGGCACCAAGGGATGACTAGAATGGAGGGGGTTCGCTATAGGATTGAAGGTACGAATAGGAAAAGAACAAAGCCACATGGTATACCACCTACATCAGGTCAGATAACACTACAGACTACACTTCTTGAGGTAGTGCAATGAAATCAAATGAGTGCAGCTAACCGAAAGTCTCTAATTTAACGCACATCTATCTCCTATATCCAAACGATGCGAGAAATAATAGTGAGTCACAAACGGCTTCTACTTTCCTCAGCAGCAGAAACGGGCGGCTCGGATTAACTCCTGAAGCCGATCCGTTGAGTTATCAGTCAGCTTTTGCGATTTTGTAAGCGAGGAGACTGTATAGGAGGACGGTCGATTTACATCTTGCGGCACTAGCACTCTCGCGGCTATGCAGTGTTTGTTCGCTCCGAAATCACGCGTTTTATCGTGGCGGGCGGCGATTGTAGGGTGAGTCCACCACCGACCACAGAACCTACAGTGATGACCACCGTGGGCCGTGTGGTGGTCAGTCGATCAGTCAACTCATGAGCACGTTCGTGGAATCTCATTCAAGGAGTCTAAGAAGCTCCGCGCGCACGTGACGTGCTTGCGCGTGCAGAGCAAAGCAGAGCAACGTGAATGGCTGCTCGCTCGGCGCTCGGATTAGGCACAATTCACGCGTCCACGACTCGACGGATCGCTCCCGACTCGGCTTTGCCTCCCCTCGTGCGCAGATTACCGCCAATGGCTGCTCACTCGGCGCTCGGATCAGGCACAATTCACGCGTCCACGGCCCGACGGGTTGCCCCTGACTCGTCTCGCAAGGCACCTCGAGTCCGTAGTAGGTTCTACAATCGAACATCAGAAACCGTTCGATCCGCACAGCAGCCTCGTCCCTCCCGTCCTTCCCGTCCTCCCCGTCCTTGCAGCTGCTTTCCGCCTCCTCGTCCCCCCTCCCTGCTCCTCGCCCGCCCATGCCTCCCCGCACCCTTCCATCCGTCCCTGAACCGACCATATCCAGGCACACGCCTGCTCACAAAACAAGCTCGCACCACCGCATCACACTCCTCTCCACTCCCGACACCTCGCTCGCCCACACAGGGGGATGGGGGTCCCATCTCCGCCCACCCCTCCGCCCTCCTCTCCGCTCTCCCCTCCGCCTGCCCACACGCGTCCACTTGGTTGCTCCAACAAGGGAGGCTGGGCTCAACTGACCCACTTGAGCCGTCCTCACCCGAGCCTCCCCTGTCCAAGCCTGTCACAGTGGTTTGGTCTGAGCCTCTGCTCGAGCCTCGGACACTCGTCTCCCCCTCACTTGACCTTCCTCTGCTCCCTCTGCGTCCTCTGCTTGCCCTGCTTCCGCTGCTGCCACTGGTGGCGCTGCTTGTTTCGCCTGTTCAAGTCACCGTCATCAGCCACATTGCCTGCACTGCTCTTTCCCGTCCCAGTGGCATCGCTACTGCTCTCTCCCGTGTCGGCAATCTCCTTAGGGGCGGGGTGCGAGCGCTGCTGCTGTCCTGTCTGTTCCTGATGGGTGCTGCAGCCATGGGAGTGAGAGCAGCACCAGCAGTAGCAGCCACAGTTACAGTTTTGTCATCAACTTCAGTTGAATCTCCAGCTACAGTTGATTCAGCTACAGTACAAGCCAGCCAAGTGGGAGCCCTTGGAAACAAGCAGGGAAGGAGGCTTAAGGCCAATGCATTTGTTCGGCTTGCAGCCAATTGCGTGGCGCCAGCTGTCGTTCAACTAGAGGTGGAAAGGTGATGCTCTGATGCTCTGCTTCTTTCTTTTGGCAAATAGGTCTCAAAGTAATCTTGGATGGAACCCAAGACACATGGGTTATAAGGGTCTGTTGCGTGCGAGAGAATGCTCCAGGCTGCTGCTATTAATTCTTGAAAGTTGAAACACCTCCTTAGATTCATCACTGATTGTTGGGGCGTGACCTTCATTCTCGCGTGCTTGTCTCTCTCCCACTTCCAGGCACCTTCCTCGGGCATCCCCACAAGCTACTTTGAGAAAGAGCGAGGAGGGCAGAAGAGAGGAGGCAGAGGGGCTGGGCAGCAGCGGCAGTGTGGATGATGGATTGGGGGATGACTTCAGGGAGACAGGTGGGTTAGAAAATCTGACAAGGTGGGTTCGGGTTCGCACCTGTATGGCAGTATGGCTGTGCCAGTATGGTTATCGTAGAAACATGCCATATCCTGTTTCCATACACGGTGACCTATGCGATCCCATACATACTCTTCCCTTTTGCTCTCCCTCGTCTCCTTGCTCTCCCTCGTCTCCTTGCTCTCCCTCGTCTCCTTGCTCTCCCTCGTCTCCTTGCTCTCCCTCCTTGCTTCCCAATGTGGAGAACCAACCCTCACACCTTGTATCACACCTTTTCACGTCCCAATGTGCGCTTCAACCAACCCTCTCGATTGATGCTCCTGGCGAAACAGTTTTGAGACGTGTCATCACTCCATTCGTGTTCCTGCAGATGACACGATGTTCCTGGCGAGATCCAAATCCGATCTGATTTGATTTTATGCACTGCAACCAACCCACTGCATTCCTTCGTGTTTCCTGCAGATGATGTGATGTTCTTGGCTAGATTCGATCCGATTGCAAGCACTGGCAGCACCAGCAGCAGCGCGGATTATGGCAGCACTCGCCTGGCATCATCCTCATGGCCACAGAAGCCTCGAGTGGGGGTATGGCTGCGCAGACTAAAGGAGAGGGCGAGGATGGAGGCCAGGGACAAGGCCAAGGCACCCGAGGCGTATACAGAAACTAGTGTGTGAGCCATTCTGCAGTCCACTTTGACTCTCTTGCCTTTCACACTGCACGCACAAGCCTTGAGTGGGGGGATGGTTGCGCAGGCTCAAGGAGGATGAGGGAGGATGGAGGCCAAGCTGAAAGCCAAGGCAAGGCACCCGAGGCGTACACAGAAGCTAGTGTGTGAGCTTAGCTGCCTTGGGACTGCCTTTGCATCAATCTCTTCTCCCATCGTGCCCCTCCTCTCTTCTCCCGCCATCTCCCGTCCCTCACTCTTCCAGTGGCTTCGACTTTATCTGCCTAGTACCCTCCTTTGCTCCCTCCCTCCCTCTTTCCTTCCCCTCTATCCCGCCCCCTTCATTCTTTCCCTACCCATCCTACTTCCCTCTTTCCCCTCCCTCCCACCCACCCTTTCCCCCCGTTTCCCCCTCCCTGCACCACCTCTCAGAAGCTACTGTGAGATGCCTCAAAACAAACCCGCCCCCATTCCGTCCCTTCGTCCTTTCATCCTCACCCACCAGCGGCAGCGGGTTCATCGTCAGCAGTGCTCAGCAGCTAAAAGACGCCTTAAAGCCCACTTTCCCTCCCTCCTTCCCACCCCTGTTCTCCACCGACCAGTGGCAGAGGGTTCATCGTCAGCAGCACTCAGCGGCTGGTGTATAAACCACCTAGTAATAACCCTTTATAAGAACGCCTTTTTTCAGCCGCCTCCCCGCTTCCTCCTTCCCTTCCCTCCCCCCCTGCCTTCTGCCACCCACCAGCGGCAGTGGATTCATCATCAGCAGCGCGCAGCGGCTGGTTCTGACAAATGCTCACGTGGTCGATGGTGCAGCAAGAGTGACAGTAAGGAGAGTGGTTATGTCCCACGGATCATGTCACGCGTAGACATACTAAATGTTTCGCCAGTTCTCAATGACGCTCATGGGGTGGTGGACGGGACTGTGAGAGTGGCGGTAAGGGGAGTGCTCATGCTGCACGAATTGTATCATGTCACTCATAGGCAGAATTCTGTTGTGGAAGGTGCAGCAGAAGTGATGGTAGGGTAGGGGGAGCATGGCGCGTAGCACAGCATGTCAATTACAGGCACTATAGGCATCGGCGCTATCCAGTCCACAACTGTGCCCATGTCGCGGATGGGGCAGCAAGAGTGACAGTTGGGTTGAGGAAAAGGGAAGTGTCGAAAAAGTCTGTCTGGATGTGACTTTTGGTTCGACTCAAAATTAACCTTGAATGTCTGCCAAACACCTGCCACACATGGGGCACTCATCGGCCGTCGGGACTTGCTGGGCATCGCGCCTGGTGCTCTGCATCCCGCCTGGTGCCTGGTGGATGCTCGTGCTGCAGCGCGAATGATGGCGGGGCGAGGAGAGGAATCAATCACCCTACTGGGTTTGGATTGGCACTCATGTCTCCGTCATACATACATACATACATACATACATACATACATACATACATACATACATACATACATACATACATACATACATACATACATACATACATACACATACATACATACATACATACATACATACATACATACATACATACATACATACATACATACATACATACATACATACATACATACATACATCTCACAGAAGCCTGAGCTGAGCCACATTTTGGTCCACACGCCAGTGCATGGCATGGCATGGGGTGATGGCATCATGCATGCTTCCTGCCAAGCACACATGTTCCCAGAGATGCATGTGTGCTGTTGCTCACTTAGTGTAGGGTGCAAGGTATGCATGCACCCATAATTGCATACGTACTGCTAAAGTGTAGATAAGAAGGGTGTCAGTCGCAGCTAGTTCACCTGCCTTCCCTCCCTTCTCTTCCTCTCCATCCCTTTCATCTCCATCATCTCTCCCATCCCTCCCATCAGCTACTTCTTCCCGACAGTCGTCGCTTTGCCACCGAGTCATGCGTACTGCATCCCTCTGCTGACCTGGCAGTGCTCAAGGTAGATGTGTCAGAGAGAGGAAGCTGAGTCATCTTTACTTCATATCTGCTGACGTGGCAGTGCTCAAGTTAGTGCTGCCAGGTCAAGGAACTGTCGTCGATTTCATGTCGATGGCTGCTGTGCTGTGCGAACGCAAACCCATGCGCATGTTACACGCTTTTAATATCGTTTGCCATACGGCATAGAGCATACTCCTCGTATAGACTAGACTGTTCTACTATCCACCTTCCCTTTATGATGCAGAAGAGGGATAAAACATGACAAGAACAGCTCTTTTGTCGGACTGTTCCACCTGCTGCCACCAACAGGTCACTCACAGGCTGCCCGCGAAAACAAGCATTTCTGCGTCTCTCCCCAGCCGCCAAGGGGCCACAGAGGCAGCGGTAGCAGCAGCAGGGAGAGGGGAGGGAACAAATGCACCAGTCAGTGCAAGAGAGTTCAGAGAACTCCACGTGAAGGGCTGTGAGGGCGCAAAGCTAGGAGATAGCTGCGTTGAGGGGGGAGGTGGTAACGGAATTGATGGGGAAGTGGATGGTATTAGCTCTTTTCACAGTAATGGCAACGGTGGCAGGCATTGGTTTAATGATGCCGATGGTTACGTTAGGGGTGTCGATCGAAGCATGGGAGTGGGTGAGGAAGCAGAGAGGGTAGTAATCTCGATGAGGACAGGAGGTGAAGTGGGGGTGGTTAGGGGCCATGCCGGTAGTTATGTACGTAGGGAAAGAGAGGGGACAGGAGAGAGTGGAGGAGAAGAGAGAGGAGGGTTAGAAGGAGAGGGAGGGGGCCAAACCGGTGAAGGGGAGAAAAGTGAGAGAGGAGGAGAGCGAGGAGGAGTGAGAGGGGGAGAGGGAGGAGGAGTGAGAGGGGGAGAGGGAGGAGGAGTGAGAGGGGGAGAGGGAGGAGGAGTGAGAGGGGGAGAGGGAGGAGGAGTGAGAGGGGGAGAGGGAGGAGGAGTGAGAGGGGGAGAGGGAGGAGGAGTGAGAGGGGGAGAGGGAGGAGGAGTGAGAGGGGGAGAGGGAGGAGGAGTGAGAGGGGGAGAGGGAGGAGGAGTGAGAGGGGGAGAGGGAGGAGGAGTGAGAGGGGGAGAGGGAGGAGGAGTGAGAGGGGGAGAGGGAGGAGGAGTGAGAGGGGGAGAGGGAGGAGGAGTGAGAGGGGGAGAGGGAGGAGGGCAACAGCTTGCAGAGGAGGGCGGAGTGGGCAGCAGGACAGAGGATTGGCTGCCCTGTGCGCCCATTGGTGACAGTGATGACGTGGAGCTTGCTGATTGGGTGATCTCAGTGGGAAATCCCGTGGGGCTGCCTGGCAGCATCAGCCTGGGCGTGATCAGCAGCCTAAAGCGCACTGCTGCTCAGGTGAGTGTGATGAGAGGGTGGGCAATGAGAGGGTGGGGTGTGAGAGGGTGGGGTGTGAGAGGGTGGGGTGTGAGAGGGTGGGGTGTGAGAGGGTGGGGTGTGAGAGGGTGGGGTGTGAGAGGGTGGGGTGTGAGAGGGTGGGGTGTGAGAGGGTGGGGTGTGAGAGGGTGGGGTGTGAGAGGGTGGGGTGTGAGAGGGTGGGGTGTGAGAGGGTGGGGTGTGAGAGGGTGGGGTGTGAGAGGGTGGGGTGTGAGAGGGTGGGGTGTGAGAGGGTGGGGTGTGAGAGGGTGGGGTGTGGGATGTGGCGCATGGGGTGCAGGTGAGTGTGAGGGTGGGAAATTTTTATCATTCCACTCACTCCTTCCCCCCCTTCTCTCCCACCTCCTCGTGTTTCCTCTCCCCCTCTTCCCCTCTCCCCCTCTCCCCCTCTCCCCCTCACTCTCCTCTCCCATCACCCTCCCTCCACTTCTTTCAAACATACTGTGCCATCAACCAAGGCAGCTCTCCTCATTCCACTCCCTCCTTCCTCCCCCACTCCCTCTTCCCCTCTCCTCCTCTCCCCCTCTCCCACTCCCTCTCCCCACCCCACCAGGTGGGAGTGCCGCACTCCTCGCTCCACTTCTTCCAAACAGACTGTGCCATCAACCCGGGCAGCTCTCATTGCTCTGCTCGCATTCCCTCGAGCTCTAACATCTTACCCCCCCTCCACTCCATCTCCCTCCCACCAGGTGGGAGTGCCCCACTCCTCCCTCCACTTCTTCCAAACAGACTGTGCCATCAACCCGGGGAGCTCAGGCAGTCCCCTTGTGAACGAGTTTGGAGAGGTGCGTGCTGCTATCCCAACCTGCTGCTCTCTCAACATGCTGCTGTCGCCCATATGCTGCCTCCCTTTTAATCCATAATCTGCTGCCCTCCCATCAACCCGGGGAGCTCAGGCAGTCCCCTTGTGAACGAGTTTGGAGAGGTGCGTGTGCTTATGCTGCTCTCTCATGCTGCTCTCATGGTGAACAACATAGGGGCTGTGAGTTCAGTTTACTGCCCTCTCATTGGTATAGAGCTGCTTCCCTGTATGCAATATGCTGCCTAACCTTTCATCAACCCAGGAAGCTCAGGCAGTCCCCAGAAGAAAAGATTCAGAGGGATATGGATACACTCAAATAGGTCATGCTTTGCCTAGCTTGCTGCTGACATGGCACGATCGGATTGGTGGCTGCAGGTGATTGGCATCACAACAGCCATCCGGTCGGATGCTGAGGGAGTGGCATTCGCCATCCCCATCAACCATGTGAGTTGATTCATGCTGCATCTCTCACTCCTACTCTCACTGCGTGACTTCTGAGTCGACTCAAAAGTCACCTCGGTTGGATGATGAGGGAGTGGCATTCACCATTCTCATCAACCATGTGATAATGTCTTGTGATCGACTCAAAAGTCAGCTCGAGTTCTTCGCCCGAGTGCCATCTGCGACAGACAGATGGCACTCGGGCAGAGCCATCTCTTATATTGCCTTTCTTATTTTTGTGTTTGCTTCCCCCCTCTGCAGGCCATTTGCGAGCTCAGTTCCACCGGCATACACTTGGATGCAAGAGGCCCGGACACTGCTTCCAGAAGAATGTAAGTCCATAACTTTGGACAATACCTGTATGTTATTCTTCAAGGGTCAAACCTGGCTCCTCAGGGGTTCTGCTCCAGTGTCAGCCACAGATGGCTATATGTCGCACGCAGTCATCCTTTCATTTGTTTGGGGCACGCCGATGTTCGGTCAAGTCTTGCGCATTACGAGATTAGGTCCATTGTGAAAGTGTACTTAGGCTGACTGGCAAAGGCAGCGTTATCATTTCATATGGATTGTAGTACATCGTTCTCGTCTTATATAAATCTACATAACAGCATACACAATGGGTGGGCGGGTGGGAAATTAGAACTACAATTTTGAAAATGAAAACGTGGGTGGGGACGAATGTCCCCACGTCCCTCTTTTGTAGGCAAAAGAGGGTGAGTAGCGCTTCGGCGCTACCTTTGCTGTGTTGGCCACGTACCCCTTTTCACAATACAAAATTTTAGAAAGTGTTACATTTCATTACACTTTCAAAAATTATCATTTTCTTTTGTTGTGCGATAACCAATGACTGGAAATGTTGTGAAACTAAAAACCACTAGATAAATAAATATCGTTCGTGGGAACAGGGCATGTGAGGAGGATGTTGGGTAAACTCTTCTCTGTCACGTCGATCTATTCCATAGCTGTGTTGGAACAAGTGAGTCCACCTTGCTGTGTATGAATTCGTCAGAGATTCTTACTGAATTCGCAGCTCTAGCAAGAGTTTGCACCATTGGAAAGCCATGACAAAAGCTATAAGTTATATTGCAGGGTGGTGTCTAGATTGCTCCAAAGTATGATCTTGTCATCAGGCTATATAAATTGTCCCTGGACGTTTGCGCAGATGCCGGGGATCAAACCCGGAATTTCTGCGTGACACGAGGAGATACTGACCATTATACTACATCAACCTGATTTGTCTTTATGTAAAACATTTACAACTCTTTAAATTGTTTTCAAAGAACCCCATTCAGCAGCGGTTTTCAAAACAGCGGTTTTACAACCGGAATTTATCATTGCAGAACCGCTGAGGACAAATGTCACTGTTCGGTAGAATCTTCGAGCAATGATAAATTCGACACTGGTTGGGTCTGCCTGGTTCGAGCAATGCTGACTGGGATGTTGTCACACGCGTCAGACGCGCAGTCATTACCAGGAGGACTAAACTAGTCATGTGGCATTGACTTCACGCTGTAGCCCGCCTTTTCAGGTAACCGTCTTCTAGGCGATGAAAGCGGGCAGCGCAGCCGAGCGTGGCGATAGCGTTACTTTCCGGATCGGGTTCGCCGGCGCTTTTGCGATGGCTGCGCATCATGTGGCTGCGATCGGTTGGATAGGACCAGCAGATCCGCCGGATCATAGAGCTGCTCCGGGATGATCTTGTCCTTCGCTCGGCCCGAGCGAGGCCCCTCCCCTTTGGTCTTCGGAGCAGGCGCATGAGTGAACCCATCTTGCAATTGCGCAAAAAAAAAGGTGGTGGCATACTGGTGAAAGCGCAGTACACCTAGCCCGCGCTATTTTCACGCCCTGCAACTTGTTTCGGCAAGCACCCTGAACCCGATTTTGGCTTTTACCAGTAAACTCCCAGAATTTGAAGGCTACAAACCACTCAGCCAAGTGTCGAGATATTAAAAAAAACCGCACCCTTACCACGGCGACTCGACCATAGTTTATTGTGACCCGTTTTTCATCCCCTCTAACTCGTCTGAGATGTATGAAACGTACCCTCTTTAAAACGAAAGCATTCGAAACAGCCCTTAAATATCGGGTAAATCAGAAATAATTACACAGGGGGGTGAAAATGGCCCTAGTGAATTTGGCGCGGGCTAGGTGTACTACTTACTACCTCTGGGCCCCAAAACGCTGCTTCGTTTTTTGTAGAGAATGTTGCTCCAGTGGTGGCACCACCCCTGTCAGTCGCGGGCGCACCGACCGAGTCTAGAGCAGAGGAACTCCGGAGCGCGCACCGCCGCGGCGGCGCGCCCATCGAGCGAGCGAGCGGCCGATTCAGCGAGCCCCGTTTACCCTATTCCCTGTTTACTCCCCCCTTTTTGAGTCGGACTCGGACCACAATCCCTCCCACCAGCCATGGCCGCGCGCCAGGCTTCTCCGCGCGGGGCGCGGCCGCGCGTCCCGCGGCTGCTGCGACTGCTGCTGTTCGCTGTGGTCGTCTCTGCGACTGTCGCCGTCGCGCAGAGCCCCAATGGCCGTCCGGGTACCTTCCCCCCAGTCGCCTTCGTGCCGGCCACTCAGAGCGTGAGATTCGGTCCGGGCTACACTGCGTCTGTTAACCTCGCAACCAACCCTCCTTCTCTGGCCGTTGTCGACTGGAAAGGCGCGCCTGTCGCGCCCACTTATAACGCGGACGGATCCGCTATGGTTGCCGGGTACACCGCGTACCCAAACGGCACCGTCACTGGTCCGGGCGGCCTTACCATCTACCTTCAAGGTTTCAGCTCTGATGCGGCATTGTTCACCGTGGGAGCAACGACAGTGCTGAGGAACGGAACCATTGTGGACTCTTCGGGAAGAAAGCTCGTGCCGGTGAAAAACCCTAACGGGGACGGGTCGTACACAGCAGGGGACCTGACTGGGTGGCCTAACGGCTTCATCATTGGCAGCGGCGGCGCCGTGATCAACGCCGGCGCGCCGCTCACCGTCACAGCGAATGGCAGCGTTGCGTTCGCGCCGCAGGCTGCTGTTCCCGTGCCTGGCGCCGCCATCTCCCTGAACCCCACCACCCGCACCCTGTGGTTCGGCGGCTATACACTGTTGTTGAGCGGCAATGATCTCCCCCTCGCAGACCCCGCCCTCAACCTGTCGCTGGGTGGCATCACGGTGGGGGCGAGCGGCACAGGATCGAGCGGCACAGGATCGAGCGGCACAGGATCGAGCGGCACAGGATCGAGCGGCACAGGATCGAGCGGCACAGGATCGAGCGGCACAGGGGCGAGCGGCACAGGATCGAGCGGCACATGATCGAGCGGCACAGGATCGAGCGGCACAGGATCGAGCGGCACAGGATCGAGCGGCACAGGATCGAGCGGCACAGGGGCGAGCGGCACAGGATCGAGCGGCACAGGATCGAGCGGCACAGGATCGAGCGGCACAGGATCGAGCGGCACAGGATCGAGCGGCACAGGATCGACAGCACAGGATCGAGCGGCACAGGATCGAGCGGCACAGGATCGAGCGGCACAGGATCGAGCGGCACAGGATCGAGCGGCACAGGATCTAGCGGCACAGGATCTAGCGGCACAGGATCTAGCGGCACAGGATCTAGCGGCACAGGGCCGACTTTTGTCACAGGGCCGACTGTTGGCACAGGGCATGGCAGTAAATTCTCCCTGCTAGACCCCACTGGCAAGCCTGTCACCACCACCCCCAACCCCGACGGGTCCCTTTCTCTTGGCGACTACACGCTTTTCAGGAACGGCACGATCGTCGCCCCGGGTGGCCGCATTGCTATTGACACTGCAGGGGCCAGCGCGGGTTTGCGTGTGGGAACAACGACGGTTCTGGTAAACGGAACGGTTCTGGACGGTTCGGGAGCGAAGATTGTGCCGACGGGGCCGAATGAGGACGGGTCGTACAGTGCAGGGGACGTGAAAGGGTGGACCAACGGCACTATTGTTGACACAAGCAGTGGTGTGGTGCTCTATCAATCACCAATCACCTGCAGCCACCAATCACCTGCAGCCACCAATCACCTGCAGCCACCAATCACCTGCAGCCACCAATCACCTGCAGCCACCAATCACCTGCAGCCACCAATCACCTGCAGCCACCAATCACCTGCAGCCACCAATCACCTGAAGGTGACTCAATGCATCCTAGCTCGCTTCACTTTGCATCGCTCACCGAGTGCAATCTGCTGTTTGATTTCCTACCTACTGAGCCGTCTCTTAGTTTGGATTTCTTGCACTCGGTCAAGGATTTGCTTCCTCTCTCTGCAGGCCATGTGTGAGCTGATTTCCAGTGGGGAGCTCAGGCAGTGCCCTTGTAGAATCATTTCTTATTGTTGTGTTTCTTGCACGGAGTTTCATTTGTGCTTCTTGCACTCAGTCAAGTGTTTGTTTCCTCTCCCTGCAGGCCATTCGTGAGCTCAGTTCCACCGGCATACACTTGGATGCAAGAGGTCCGGACACTGTTTCCAGAAGAATGTAAGTCCCATAACTCTGGACAGTACCTGTATGTTATTCTTCAAGGGCCAAACCTGGCTCTGCAGGGGTTCTTCTCCAGTCCCAGCCACAGATGGCTATATGCTGCATTCGTCCTTTCATTTGTTTGGGGCACGCGGGTGTTCGGTCAAGTCCTGCTCGTTACGCGAATAGATCTTTTTGGTGTGCGATAGCCTATGACCGGATTGTTGTGATACCAAAAAGAACGAGATGATTATCGTTTTTGGAAAAAATAAGGGCATGTAAGGAGGATGTTGGGAAAACTCTTCTTCGTCACATCGATCTATCGCATAAATGTGTTGGAACAAGTGGGTCCACCTTGCTGTGTATGCATTCAAGAGAAATTATTATTGACTTATAGCAGCCTTTGCTGACTTGGACCTTTGTAATGCCATGACAAATCTCAGGAGTTGAATCTGCAGGGTGGTGTCAGAAGATTGCTCTGGTACAAAACTTTTCTGAAGGTAAACGCCGACGCCGGGGATCGAACCCGGATCTTCCGCGTGACAGGCGGAGATACTGACCATTATACTACATCGACATGTACGCTATGATGTTATCAATATAACTTTATTTAAACTTTTGTTTGCCTACACAATAAACCAAGATCTTATTTTGCACTCCTACACTTCCTGCATTCGAAGTTTCCCATTATGCGGGAAATCCGCACATTGAGAGGGTGGTTACGCATTTCACGCGACCCTCACGCCCTAGTCTTCTTTATTCTTATTACCGTACTACACTTGTCGGCCTACGGCTGTTCTCGCATGTCGCGATATCGTGTTCGCGCTGCGCTCTGCGTGCGCATGAAGCTTTTTCCTCCTTCAGCTTGTTGTGTGAGATGTCGTGAGTGCTCACAAGGCCACGGATGGTATGCATGTATCAAGCTGCTCACGGCACGTGCCTCGCTTTCGATAACGTGCGCGGCGCCGGACAGCGGTGTGAGTGCTTTGCCACGTTTACTACGCTCCACGCGCCGGTCGCACCCATCCATCGTCCGACGCACGCTATGCTGAATGTGACGTCTTAGGATCGTAAACGTCTTAGTCGGCAATAGTCTACTTGCTATTGCTTATCGTGTTCTCCACGATCTCACAAATCCAATGATATGCGTAGCTCTGCTTGAAGTTGTCAATACACACATAAGCAATTTTCAGAATCTCAATGTTGTCTTTTCCAAAATGAGTACAAACAGATTTATAGCCAACCAAGGTACAAGACACGATTCGTAACTTTATTTGTTTCCCAAGTAACCGCGTGCGCCTCGTTTCATCTCGAGTTGCACACAAAACCGCACCGAATGCACCGAACACTCCCCAAGTTCGAATCTAGCACCTTCTCGAACACGCCTCAAGCTCGAACCATATTTTCCTGTCGATTCTCAGAGGGCGTCTCAAATCCCTCGGTCCACCCTGGCTCTATGCGGTCGATGGGGACCAGTCCACCAAACCACATCGGACCCAAGCGTGGACCCGCTCCCTGAGCAATTGGTATAGCAAACTAGCACCCTCGTTTTAGCAGGTGAAAGGGACTTGATGGGGAGGATATCCTGGTTCAGCGAGCTCGTCCACGTCGGACCCCTGAACAGTCATAGTATTGGCGAACACTCATGAACTCACCTCTCTCAGTCGCAAAATCTGGCGCCCACACGCGTCAGGGAGAAGCTGCGCAAGTGTACTGTACAGTCTTGCGTCATGGTAACCCAATTTCTCTCGCCTACACGCAACTGTAGAGTGGATCTGCGGACCAAACAACAATGAGTCCGAAGCTGGTTCACTTGTTTAGTCCACACGGGTCCAACGGACCAGTCCAGGGTATTTCTGTAGGCACAAATTCAGGGACGGACCAGGTTTGGGCGGATTGGCTAACCAGCCAAAGTGAGGCACGTCCTCATTCTCGATGCTTCTCCTTCTCTCTTCCTCCTTCTAGCACATTTCTTCCCGATTTCTCTCCCGCTTCTCACGCCATAGCTTCCGTTCTTCACCGTAGGCCGATTTCCACTGTTTCATCTTGAACCATTCACGCGCTTCCATTTCGCCGTCGTAGAACCTTCCGCCGTAGGTTCCGTGGTTAGGCGAACCAACCCTAACACGACGCATGGTGCGACGCTGGCGTCGCCGCCGAGTGTTTCCGAAGCGGAAAAGGTATTGCGGAAATGTGGCGAAAAAACTGCAGAAAAGTTACTTTCTGGATACCCGACCCCGATGTTTTCCAGCGAAGGTCAAAACCATCGGAATTCCCGCAAGGGTGCACGTTGCGTAAAAGTGACCCCTTCGCCACATTTCGGACACATTTCAGGAACCTCCCAGCAACCGCGATCTTGCCAGAAGATAAAGTTGCCCGTCACACGTGTCACATGACACCGTACACCAAAGTGCTTGTGCATCATACCGTACGTACCCCCTTGCCACGCGGCCTTCATCAAGGCGGCTTCACGCAACGATCCCCGCCGTACACATGTGAGCACCCCGTTGGTCTAACGAGTGAATACACCCACTCTCGTCGCCCACTTACCAAACTGCGCGTGCATTTCGCCCACCAATCTGCATGCAGAGGACCCACCTCCCCACCCACAAACGCGCCGCCACCTCCCCACCCAACAACCTCTCGTTATCCCACACCTGTGCGTACTGCTCGCACACCCATCCAACGCTCTCGCGACATCTGTCTACGTCCGCTTTGCGCACACCACTCCACGCGGCGCAAATCCACACCGCGAACACCCCGCATCTCGACCGTACACCTGTGGGACCGTGAGTGGCCCCGCACCATGTAACTACACACTTCGTCAGCCACTAAAACGTAGCGCGGGCCCGCCTCGCCCGTCCTACGGCAAACCTTCGCCAAATCTGACGTCCCAACGCATGCTCGCCACCTCAGCCGGTGTTACCAGGGCGTGCACCAACACCTGACGATAAAGTGAACCAAGCTTCCGCCCGCTGCATACGCGGGACGTGTCTCCACTGTCCGCCCACCATTTACACCTGGTGGATTTAGACACGTGGTCCCAAGCTTTACTACTTCCCCCTATTGGTGCGACTGGCCACGCCATTGACGCGTGAGATGCGGCCAACCACTGCAAACATATCCCACGTCAGATGTGCGGAAAACGTCCACCACATCCCTCAACAGCACCTATTCAATGTGCGTGCCACGAATGGTCTACGTTCGACGCGGCCCGAAGCGCGCCCTCAGTAATGTGCGCAGCTCGTGAAACCGGAACCACGTATCCGTACCTATTAGACACCGCAATGCTGTTATTAAGATACCAAATACGGCGTAACCATACAACGTGGTGTGTTTACATTCCCTAAGTGTTCGCGTGAGTTTGCACCGTATTTAAAAAACGCACAACCCATCCGTAATAAACCTACAGCAAAGCGACACAAAAGAAACACACACATAGCTAGGACCCACAACAAACACAAATATCCCGCCTACAGCAACAAATGCACGACAAACCCCAGCTGGGAAAACATGCCTTCAACCCCCACCATTTACGGGCCTCCAAGCGACCCAGAGATCTCGTCCGCCTGAACCTCTGCCCCATCACGGGTAGCGGCAGTCGCTGGAATTAAGTCCTCCAGCCCGCACGAGGACAGTCGAAGGCCATGGCGCCCCCAGGTCCACGAGCACGAGGCGACGTCGTACTTAGGCTTGAAGATTCTGATCGCGTTCGACACTGCCTCACGCGCAAGGATCACGAGCCCATCGACCACCTGCGCGTTTCCACAGGCAGAGTTCGACAGTCGCCCCTTCCTCGCCTCCCAGTTCACCAGCGTGTCGGTCACCTGCGACACGCAAACAGCCCCTTAGCCACCGGGGGAGGACGGGTGACCACATCGCACAAACAAACACCAAGCACGTACCACATGCTCCAGCCACGCCAGGTGGTAAAGCTTCACCGTCAGTGGCCCGACCACCTTCTTCGGCTTGAATGCCGCAACCGCGCATGCCACGAATGCGCCAGAGGCGAACGGCATCCCCTCCCGATCGTTCCCAAACTTGGACAATGCCAGGGGATCTGCGCACAAATGCACGCCCACGTAAGTCCGCGATCCACGCATCCCGCATACATCCCCTCTCCAACCACGTGACCACCGCCTTACCGTCAACGCCGAGCAGCAGCCCATAATGCGATCGTATCTCCTCCAGAGTACGGTCCTTCTTCGTGGCCCATGGGCTGCGCGTATCTCGCTCGTCGCGGAAAAGCCCCATCCGTGGACACGAGATGTCCCGCGTCCTTCCTGCTGCGCCCGACTTCCACTCGCTAAGGGCCTTGTTCAAATCCGACCGTCTTGCCTTGTCCGCAGCCAGAGCAAGTGTCGCGAAATCGAAAGGCAGGCGCTCGATCACTGCACACACTCCCACCGTCTTGTCGTCGCTGCTCGGATAGAACGTGATCCGGGCGTTCTCCTTCTCAAAGAAGAGGTAATCTTTCACCAGGTCGCACGCGCGCTGCAACCATATCAAAACCACCCAGCACACACATCCGCCGTCAAAACTCCGAGAAGCACGTAGTAAGGGGTGCAAAGGCAGTTAACACATGGTGGAGGCACCTATGTTCGTCACAACGCACCTTCCACGACTTGTTTGCGGGCAGAAAATTCAGCGCCCGCTGCAGGACCGGTGACTTGGACACCCTCAGATGCCCCCTCTTGGTGGGTGGCTCATCCTCGCTCTCCTCGTCGGATGTCTCCTCATCGGCGAGTTCTTCCCGACGCTTCCGCTTCCGACCAGAAGCACCACCGCTCCCCGAGACATGCTCGTCCGGCCTGCGAGGGGGTGCACGCGCCTGCACAGCCTTAGCAGACCTCAGCTCCTCTTCAAGACGGGCCACGGTGCGCGCGCTCGCTTCTTGCGCCTTCTTCAAGGCCTCGAACTCCGCGCGACTAATCAGAATGTGTGTCTCCTCCCCGGGCGCTGTCGGGTCACGAGACGACCCAGCTACAGGCATGGCCACAAAAGGGTTGTCCGGCACACGCACGGGCGGAGGACGGGGCCTGGTGGTGGCAGTCGCCTGTGACTCTGCCATCACAGAGGCCAAGTTCTTCGACCGGGAGGGCGCCGGGCGTGCCTCGCTCTCACTCTCGATGTCCTCATCGCCCGCACCGACGCTTATCTCCACCTCTGCCTGAGGTGCCTCCGCCACTGAAGTCTCTGGCGCAGCGGATGCTGTAGCTGCGAACAAACACAACGAACACAACACTTTAAGATGGTGCCAGATGAATGGTAATCAACGGCCATGCTCGCAGTCGTCGCTTGAACAACTATTACCATTCAGAGGAACCCCCTTCGCCTTCGTCACCCTGGCGCGCTTGGCTGGCACTGCAACCGATCGCTCCGCTTTCCTCCCGCGCTGTCGCTTCTGAGTCAGCTGGTATGCGTTGCGGAGGTACGACGGAGGCTTGGACACCCTCTGTGACCTGGAAGGGGACTGGGGCTCGATCGACGCGTCCGAGGTCTCCATGTTTGAACTCCCGTGAACTCCTCCCGCCGAATGGTCCAACATGCTCTCAAACCCAAAGGTATACACCAGCGGTTGGTGTTCGCTTAGTGTAGCCCGAATTCTGCTTGTTTGCCCCAGTCAGCATAACCAGATTACGCACCAGTAAGATTGTGCCAACTCAACCTAGCCGAATCCGGGGTGGTACCAACGAGTGGTCATGTAGAATACACTGAGCCGATCACGTACACCAGTGCGGTGTCAATATTGTATCCGCTAACGGCAATCCGCATCGTTATTATAGTACCGCATACTAAAACATCAACACAACAAGAACAAATAAAGGTGACCGAGCATGGCGTCGGGAAATCCCATCAAGGAAACAATATGGTACAATCGAAACCAACGCATGGTACATTCTAGTGCATGCAGCTAACCACACACTCCCAACCTCATCCATCACAAGCCCAGGCTAGCCGGGTCAAACTCTCCAAATTGGGTCCCTACCAGATCGTCCTCCCCTGGTACTCCTTCCTCCCCTGGAACTCCATTCTGTGCATCACTCTCAAGACCATAAACTCCAACAGCAGCAGTATGTTTGACAGGTTCAGTATCCGCCTGCCCATCGTCCGTGCCGACATCAGCGTCCTGCCCCCCCTCCTCCTCCACCTCGTCCCCACCCCCTCCCTCTGCAGACCCGGTTGGGGTCTCGGTCTCAGGAATATCCATGTTACCATGGCAGTCCAGCACCGCCTGCTCCCACTCTCTCCAGCGGAACCACATCCGGCTCTTGACCAGGAGCTTGATGACCTTTTTGGAGCATCCTGCCAGAAGGCTCTGTTCCGTTGGTGTCAACTGGATCGTGCGTGGAATGACGACGCCAGGCCTTAACACATGAGCAGCTGCGGCGTAAGCGTAAGCTGCCTCTGGCTCCTGTGTGTATGACCCCAACCGCATCTGCGTCCGCCTGGCCTTACCAGGCTCCCTCACCAATATCTTCGCGCTCCATGTCCCCCTCTTCTTCTCTCGCCGCACCCCGGTGTACTGTGAGGACCCACCACTTCCCCCCCCACCACCAGCGGCTGTTGTACCTTCCGCTGCCAAGCTTCCGCCATCGACACGTGGTCGCTTCTCCCCCCTTTTCGCAGCAGGCATGTCTAGCAAGACCTCTGTCGTCGCACGTACACCCGGGCCGACTTCACCGTTCCCGTTGGTAGGGGTCTTCGGGCCACCAGGACTGTCATGGGCCGGAGACGCACGCGATAAGGGAGGAAGGGGCCGGGGGTGCTGATGGATTACGCCCAATTCCGTGTGTGCCACAAACCCACCCTTCGCACACGATTGCGCGCCACAGGGTTCGGCGGGGAGGGGGCCACCGGTCCGCTCAGTAGGCAGGTGAGGCGGCGTAGAGGGTGATCCCCCGGGTTCAATGCTCCGATAAGCCCCTCCGTCCGTCTTCACCACGTACGCGGCAGCTGCGAGCATCTGATCTCTGCTGTACCCCATGGCGTTCCCGAGCGCGGTCACTGCCGCGCCCCAGATGACAAGTTCCCTCCGTAGTCCGTACACCTCGACCTGGTACTGAGCGAGACGGCTCCTCATGTCCACCTCGTCCGACGCCCTCACAGCGCCGATTTCCGATGTCCGAGGTGCATACTGCGGTGGAACGATCTTCCCCGGTGTGGTCAGCGCAGGTACGAGCTCACAAGCTGCATGCGCGCTCAGATCCGCACGCATGCGCCGGCGGTACTGGCCACCGCTCACTCCGTCCAAATACAGATACTTCAGCACCGTTGAGAAGTCTGACTCTACGAGTCCGCGCAAGTAGTGGCACAAGAATACGCCACAGTCAACCAGGTTGTCCTGCCTGATGAGCTGGTGCGCCTGCATGGAAGAGTGGGCATGTGTGTCAGTGCATGGGCTTTCGCGTATGGGAATTCCATCCCAAGCTTTTAATGGCCCGACCACACGGCTCATACCTGCATCACCACACAGTCCGCGCTCGAAAGCGTGGAAACAAGTCGCTCGTGGTCGCACTCTGGGTGCAACTGCTTGGTCGTGATATCCAGCAGCCTGAGCATGCGCACCAGTACAACACGGAGATTGTTTATCCACAGAGCACAAGGATTCATGATTCAGTTCACAAGGACAACCATACTCACAGCTTCGCGCCATCAAAGACGGTAGGATCCCCGGCATGTGTGCCCTCGCTGTCGAACAGGACCATCTGCAGCTTGTCCCCATCACCCTCCCCGTCCTTGCGGAACAACTTCGCCGTCTCGCACACGATGATGAGCGAGTAGTGGTTTCTGTAGATGGAGTTGTGGAACAGCACGGACACTAGGTCGGATCATTGACATAGACGACATAGCAAATTAGACATAGCATCCTATACACCCCGCAGCTCACCCCTTGAAAACCGGTATGGCCAGAAAGTCGACGGCGAGCAGACTTTCCCCCTTGCCGTGCTGGAACGGCTTGTTGTAACCCGTGGCGTACTGATATGCCATGCTGTCCATAACCGCCCATGTCTTGCCATTAGGGGTCCGTGGATGTTCGATGCTCAACAATCTGCACATGGGGGGTCCGGACGCCCAGGTTAGTTGACGTATTTGACGGCGACGTGATTCACCAGCGATCTCAAGACTCACATGTTGTGAAAGTCGATTATCGCATCGGTGAGGCACTGACCATCTGCGATGGTCACAAGATCTCTGGCGGTGACGATGCACGACTGTCCGGCGCGGTTGTTCAAAGACATGGATGTGAAAGAGACATCCTTACTCTTTCTGGCGACGCGGGCAACGACATCATCTGGTTCGGGGTCCACCGTATTCACTTTAACTTTCGTCTTGTACTTGGGCAGGTCGAGCTTCTTAGCGGCGCTTGCGGATTCTTGATTCGCAGATCCTTGCTGCGTGCGGGTACTACTTCGAGTGGCCCTTGTGACGGCGTTTGCGTGCGGTGCGCGCGCAGAGGCCGCCACCTCCGTGACGTCTCCATTGTTCGTGCCGCTACGTGGTTTTTTAACACCTACCTTGTCTCGCGCCATACCTTCGCGACCAGGCTGCGTCATTGGAGGGCGTTACATAAGCCTGGACACCATGGGATGGAGTGTGACAAGAACTAACACAGAGCAAGACAGGTGCCCAGACTTGGCTTTCTATGCGGAATGGAACGTCATATCGCCTGGGAATATCGAGCCCGAGCAGGATGGGCGAAGCTACAAGATCTGCATGCAGCTGCGCGGGAAATCGCCAGGACGTGACATGTGTCAACGTCGGCCCGCGTTTTGCTGACAAGAAAAATCTCGAGGCCGAGCTGTGCTGTTTTGGGCTCCAACGTGTAAACGTCATCTCTGGCGGAATCCGTTTGCTTTAAACAGGTGCACGAGTGTACTGGGACCACGTGTTCACCATGTTGTACCTAATGTTATCTCCCACGCTAAAGTTTCGATGCGTACCACATAGAGTGACGCACTTCAGTGTCGGTCCACACACACTGTCCAGTGTCACCCACATGTGTACACCATATTGTTGCGCAGAGTACTATAGGATGGGCAATTACAACACTAAGAACCTCTAGGCATATGTGGGGACACACGATGGTGCCAGGCAGCGCATGACGTAGCCAGCCTAGATCCGTCAAAAAGCTCTCCTGTATTGTCAAAAGTGGCACGCGGTACAAAGTCATACGTATTCTCCTTGATAGCAACATCATGTTCACGACACCAGGGTGAGGTTGAGCCAGTGACTGTGACTGGGGTGGATACCAACCCCAGTGTCCACTGCTTCATGCGTTAGTGCATTGACTTTTTAGGGCTCCGTGTTACGGATATGGCGGCCTGCCGCTGCAGGGGGTGTCCGCGTGTCCTTCGCGATGACTGTGCGCTTCAGTCGCACCTTGCAAAGAGCGCAGAGTGCAGACGCAACATCCTCGGCAAGCGTGACGCCCGATTAGCTCAGGCCTATCTGGAGGCCTACGCGGCTGTTTCCGCCCGTACCGCAGGTCGCCCCAACGAGACGTCTAGCCCGAACTCGCTAGCTAACGATGCAGTGACAACCGCTGACGAGGTGGCGGAAGCGACAGCAGGTGATGAAGGGACGGTAGACGACGAGCAGCAGTCCACCTGTAGTGATCAAAGCGAGGACGGCATTGTCTTTGACACGCTCACTGCTATATACCTGTTCATCCGCGATGCCGACCTTTCGCGGCGCGAAGTAAACCGCTTGCTGCACATCTTTCGCAACCCTCGCTTCAATCTCCGCGCTCTCCGCCGCTGGCGAAATGCTCTGGATGTGCGACGATGGGCTAACGCGAGAGCGCCCACGGACCTGGTTCCGTGGCTTGTGGAGGAGATCATTGTCCGCGGGACCAAAGGAGAGGTCCAGAAGTTGCTCTTGCATTATCGCGACACGGAGCAGGTACGGTTATGCCCGAGTTTCAAAATATATAACGTCTACATTCGATGCACAACATGACGCCGCAACTCGTAACGTCGAACGCAATGCCATGCAGTTGGTGAAGAAGTTGGTGCGAACTTTCGCCGCTGTACCAGGCTTCGTTACCAAGGCGAGGACGGAGCTGGACCCTACCACAGGCAAACGGAGGTTCAGCGACCCCGAGACTGGGAAGTGGATGCAGGAAGCAGAGGTAAGCTGTGTGGTCGGCTGACATTGTGGGGCTTGGCGTCCCATTATCGCTGAGTGATGCTGAGACCAATACCTGGCCGTCCTTGTTTGAGCGCAGAAAGCGATACAAGACGAGAAAGCATGGGTGTTGGGCGTCATTGTGTATAGCGATGGCACGAACGCAACAAGGAACGGCAGGCGGCAGGCTTGGCCAGTGCTCATAACACTGTTCAACATTCCTGAGCACCTGCGATGGACGGAGCCTGGTCACGTGTTGGCGGCCGTGCTGCCTTTTCCTCCCGTGTGGGCTACCTCTACAGAAAAGGCCCGGGTCTTCCAAGAGGCCATACGCATCATATTGGCACCGCTCATGCGGGAGTCGGCAAAGTGAGTCCATAATGTGTTCGTGGGTAGACCGTGCACAGACGTGGGCGACGGGTCAGTTTGTTTACTGCTGGTCAGTGATGCTCGTTGTGTGTCAGTGCACCGTGCAGTCCCAGATTCGATGCCCGTGCTTGCTGATGATCTTACAACTCTGCGTGCAACTGCCTGTCGAACCAGCTGTCCCATGCGTTTCTTCTACGTGCCGGACGCAAACGGACAACTTGTGAAGGCGGTCCCATGCTACTACGCTTACCCGGCGGACTTCATTGAAGCATGTCGTGCTACTGCCACCATGCAGACTGGGACCAAGAGACCCTGCACCACATGCTACGTGGAGGAGGATGATCTGGCAAACCTCAAGCTCAAATCTACCATCAGGACCCTTGCTTCCCAGGAGCATGCGGTGCAGCAGATTCTAGCTTGCAAGACCGTGAAGGCGGCTGAGAAAGTGCAGTCGGAATGGTCAACACACCCGATTGAGGTGATTTGCACGATATACCGCATAGCAACGCATGGGCGTGTGGGAGGCACGATTTGACGGCCGTTACTAACATTGTTACACGAGTGTCTTCACGTGCAGTGTGTGCTCAGCAGGTGGAACTTCTCGGACACCGAGTGGGGAAACCCATATGGGGCCAGCGTGGCTGACACTATACATGTGCTGGACTCCGGTGTTGCTCTGCACATGATCGAGTGCCACATCGACACTCTCAGCAAGCCCGAGCGGCGCACGGTAGAGGGGTGCGTGCATGCGAAAGGTGTGATATGATTTGGTGATGATAGATTGGCTGTGTGACATGTCCTCATCCCTCCTGTCTGCTGTGCTACCCTAACCCTCCGTGCAGGAGAAAGAAGACCACAAAGACAGAGACGCCGAGCACAGTGCTCCGGCTGCCGGGAGGATCCTCGTATCTGGCCAGTGGTGCCAACTACGCCGCGTTTGAGCACCGCGCCATGATGCAAGTCATGCCGATCCTGGTGGCGGACAAGGGGGCGCTTGGGAAGGGGCCGGACGCAGAGCTGAGGGCTATGAGAGTGCGTGCTTTCCGGTTATACGCCACGTTCTACAAGGCCTTTCTTGGCGTGGATGGTCACACGAGGGCGTCGCTCGCACACGCAAGGGAGCTCGCATACAGGTGAGAACCGCCTGCGTCCTATGCTGGTTTCTGTAATCCTGCACTACTAGAAGGACATACGGTCATCAAATGTATACCTCTATATCTCTTGTTGCGATGGGTTGGGCAGGCTGGTCGACCTTCTCCCACGAGCATACCCAGATCAGAAGTCGGGATGGCGGTTCCCTAAGGTGCACATGATCAAGCACCTGCTGGAGAATGTGATTCTCAGGGGCATGCCCCACCACTACAACACGGAGCTGTGGGAGCATACACACAAGGGCACGGTCAAGGTGCCGGTTCGGGGCGGCAACTGGAAAGACATCCCCCGGAGGATAGTCGAGGAGGAGGTGCAACGGGAGATCTGCCGGGAGGTGGCGGCTGATGCAGGCGGCGGGTGGCAGTACACCACTGCTCTCAGAGAGGTAGGGTTGCAAAGCGGTATGTGAGGTAGGGTCCCTTGGAGGCCACACACAATCGGGCCGCATCCCGCCTGGTGGTAATGAACGTTGCATTCACCGATGTGCAGGCTGTGCGGACCAAGAAGCCGGTCCTCACGAGGAAGGGGCGGCTCATGGTGCCTGGGGCGGAGGATGATGCCGTTTTGGCGATGTACCACGCGTCGCACGGTGACGACATGAAGGATCTAGTGGGATGCATGCGATCGGCAGGGGTGAAGGCGGAGCGCGTCCAGGTATGGTAGTTATTGCAGAGTCTGCTGGTGAGATTGCGACATTGAGACGGCTGGTAACTAATCACCCGCATCCCGAATCCGTGTTCCACAGGCACACACCGTCGTGGCGATTCCGCGCACGCGTGGGGGGGCGTTGGTGGCCAAGGGCACGTTCGTGAAAGCGAGCCGGGGGGAGAAGTGGTTTTCTGAGGTGGCACTGTTGGCGCCTAAAGGGGGGGAGTGGTTTGCCAAGGTGTTGTGCATCTTCAAGGCGGCTGGGGATGAGGGGGAGCCGAAGGGCTACATGTACGTGCGGTACTATGAGCAGGCTGGGCTCTGTCCCCTGACCACATGCATCCAGCTAACACCCCACCGGATGGAGACGAGGTTCGCTGTGGTGGAGGTGGCCACGATCCTGAGGGTGGTGCACATTTGTCGGAGCTTCAGCAACCCCAAGGTGCTCCTGGTGAACAAGTTTCTGCTGATCGAGTGATGTGGTCGGGCCATTCAGTGACTGTTGGATGTCAAACATGTGTGTTACGTAATTACACAACTGTGACCAATATGCTGTGTGGCGTGGTGCTGGTTTGATTATCAGCGCCGGGAGGGTGATATGCCACCATAAACTCGTAACCCATGCTGAGAAGCTTCATTGTGACACTATATTTGTGGTTTATGACTGTTCGCAATTGTGTAGGTTGCAATGGGGCTCTGTTAGCCTTTGGCAAGATTTATGGTATGCTCTTTCTGAATGTTGTGTGCCTCGTGCACTGCGGTGTTTCGATCGCGTACGCAGGCATGCAGTGTTGTATTGAAGGGGCAGTAGTCGGGAGAGTACCTTTCTGTAGTCGCTTTTTTTTAAGGGTGTACTCCCTTTTTTTGAACTTCGCCGTGCGGTCGCTGTACAACGGTGTCCATGGGTGGGTATCGCGGTTATGCATACCGGAGCGGATAGGCGAACCCCATTGGTGCGTGCGGGGGTCCACTGAGTTAATGCCACCTAGTGTCGGTGATGTGTACAGTATGTGGTTGCCGTTCAATGAAATTCGTGGTGGGCACCGTGTGAGGCTAGCGGTTCACGTGACATGTGGTGTGTTTTACGCAGCCAATGTTCCCCCGTACCTCCGGTAGTTCGGGATAAGGCAAGGGGGCGACGGTACGTACCTTCATCGGTTCAACCTCGGCTCTACCGTCTAAGTACTCGTCTCTTGTTTTTCGTCGTGGACCACAGCGGATATCAAGTCTGCGTTTTTCGTGCTAGACAGACGTCATA